CCCCCCGCACCCACACCTCCTGCCGCCCCAGCTCTGGCCCCCACCTGCACCTCCTGCTGCCCCAGCCCTGGGCTCCCCCCCCCCGCACCTCCTGTCGCCCTGGCTCTCCCCCAAAGAAAGAATTGGGTGGACTAAATGGACAGTGCACCTCTCTATCTGAAGCCTAGCAAGGGAGGTACGTGGATCCCACTAGAATTTAAAATGAAAAGTAAGGGAGGGGAGGTTCTGGACCTGGGCAGCTTTAGATACAGTACCAGGCACGTAGGAGGATTTACACTTCTGAGCCATGGAAGCAGAAATTGACTTTTCCTTTCCAGATTTAGCTAATATTCAGAAAGGGAATCTAGCACCTGCCTTCCAGATTTGAACACCCTCAAAATTCAGGAGTGCTCAAGCTCAATTTGGGCAGCTGTTACTTCATTTCTCCCTAATCAAATATACTGATCCACTGTAACTTGCTGTAGAAAAAGTAGAATAAATTGAGCAAGAAATGCTTCCCAGTGGTTATTAGGACTGGAATTGCTATTTTCAACAGCCATTGCTTTTTTTTTTTTTAGTTTTGGTTTTATTTGTTTAAAAGGAAGACAGTGATATTGCATTGGCAAATTCCCCATAGAAACGAAGAATGGAACAAAAGAATAATAAAGGCACCTCAACTTTTCCTCATTTGCCGCCCCCCACCCCAGCCCTTATAAGGATATTATAAGGATAGTGTTATAATATGCATCCAGATAGCCTTCAATCACACAAGCTGAAAATTGTTCCACTTTACTGCAGTTCTGTAACCATATGGGAGCCAATCCTGTCTGTGTTCTGTGCACATCCAAAATTCCTGCAAATGACCCGCCCTGGGAGCGAGTTACCAGTGACCCAGGGCTGGGGCGGCAGGAGGGTGCAGTTGGTGGGGGGGGAGAGAGAGAGCCCAGGTCTGGTGGGGGGGGGGGGGCAGCCAAAAAATTTTTTGCTTGGGGCAGCAAAAAACCTAGAGCCGGCCCTGCATATATATATATAGGACCAGCTCCTTAATCAGTATAAGTTGGTATGTTGATGTCAGTGGTGCTACACTGATTTATACCAACTGAGGATTTGGCCCATGGTGACATTTAAATAAGGTGACTACTGATTTTTTGGTGCCCGACTTTACACCTTAAAGGAGCCCAATTTTCAGATAATGCTGAGCAGCCATCCTCTGAAAAGCAAATCTCTTTAAAATGTCTCAGGTTAGGCAAGAAAAATCACTAGCCACTTTTGCAAAGCTTGGTCATAATGTCCTGCAGCTTTAAAAAACAAACCCTGGTGCCCAAGCAAGGAATCTGTGCTACACATCACACAAGGCAATTATTCGGTTTTGATTATCACAGAGAATTGGGAAGCTCACCAACAAAGAGGATCCTAGGGACATAGTGGCCATCAGGGGCCATATTGTCATCTGTGCTCGAATGCTGAAAGAAAGTTAAATAACTTTTTTGTGATGGGTCATTATCAGAACAGCTGTCACATCAGTCAAAGCACTAGAAATGGAACCAACTAATCAGTCTTCTTTATTTCGCTTCAAGTACAATTTGTGGGGTGGTTCTATGAAGTCTCCCTCCTCCCCCTGCATCTAGCACCAATAATTAGTTATGTAGGACTTGCCGTGTTGGATCAGAACAAGATTCCACTCAATTCAGTATCCTATTACTGACCGTGGCCTGCCGATAGAGGTCCTAAGAAAACTATCTGAGACTGGATTACATAAATATAGCTGGATTTGAGAGTAGTAATGTCTCTGTCTCTTCCTCCTCCTAAAAAAGGAATTTTTAGCAAACCCTGTTGTGGGTTTCCAGCAACTTGGAAACCAGATATTTGAATGAAAATAAAATAATTAATAAAAAACCCCAAAGAAGTCAATTTCTGATTTGCTATTAAGACTCTTTATTCTGCTTCCCATCATATATTTTGATAATTATGACTTTTAAATTATGATCTTACCACCAGATTCAGCATAATAAAATCCTCTTGAGCCATCTTTTGGATCTCTGGGCTGGAAACAAAAGCTTTCTTTAAAGCTAAAAAAAATAAATAATGTAGGTGGGGAATTTGATCTGCAGCTCACTGTTTTATATCAGCTTATAGTGTTCCTAAAACCATCCATTTATGGTTAACATCTTCAGACTATCACATGCACATGTTAGATAAGTCTTGGATAATTCAGGACTAATAAACTAAGCGGTAGAAAAATCTGTTGTTTGCCAGTGAAGCTAGTTGCTGCTTGATGTAATGTAAAATAGTTCATTCCCTTTGTGGGACTCAATCATAAATCTAACTTGACTTCCTCCAATAGTCGCTGGCATTACAAGACAGAATAGGAATCATGCAGGTATGCATGTTTTATGCTGCATAGAACTAAAACCACTATAATAACAAGTACTTGAAATGTTGCAGGAAATACTGAGGTCAGAATTTACATACAATCCTCAGTTTGTTCTGAATGACCTACAGTGGGATGAAAAGCTAATAGAGCAGTTAATCTTATCAGCTTTTCTTTGGCAAAAAAGTCTCTTCCTAGGTAATGGAAAGGTACCAATATTCCCTCTTGGAATGATTGACTGGCTTATAAATATAGATCAGAGGTGGGCAAACTACGGCCCACGGGCCACATCCGGCCCGCAGGACCCTCCTGCCTGGCTCCTGAGCTCCTGGCCCGGGAGGCTAGCCCCCCAGTCCCTCCCCTGCTGTTCCCCTCCCCCGCAGCCTCAGCTCACTGCACTGCCGGTGCAATGCTCTGGGTGGTGGGGCTGCGAGCTCCTGGGGCAGCGCAGCTGCAGAGCCCGGCGTGATCCGGTGCTCTGTGCTACGCGGTGGCATGGCTGGCTCCAGCCAGGCGGCGCGGCTGTAGCGCCACCAGCCACTGGTGCTCCAGGCAGCGTGGTAAGGGTGCAGGGAGCAGGGGTGGTTGGATAGAGGGCAGGGGAGTTTGGGGTGGTGGTCAGGGGACAGGGGTGTGGATAGGGGTCGGGGTGGTCAGAGGGCAGGGGTTCTGGGGGCGGTCGGGATGGATGGGACAGAGGTCCTGGGGGGGCCGTCAGGGAACGGGGGGGTTGGGTGGGGCGGGGGGGCATCAGGGGGCAAGAAGCAGAGGGGAGTAGATGGGGGGGGGGGCTGTTTGAGGAGGCACAGCCTCCCCTAACTGGCCCTCTATACAATTTCCGAAACCCGATGCTGCCCTCAGGCCAAAAAGTTTGCCCACCCCTGATATAGATGGTGGCAGATGCTCTTGAAGGCTCGAAGGTCCTGTCTTAAAATGCCACACCAGACTGAGTTCTCAGGCCCTGTGGTGGCATTATAGAGCAATTAGAAATCACTGCACTTCTAAGAGATGCCATCCTGCAGATGAGATGTTACATTTGGAGAGAAGTCCCATCTAAAGTTATTCTAAATCAGTGGTTCTCAAACTTTTTTTTTCCGCGGACCACTTGAAAATTGCTGAAGGTCTCGGCGGACCACTTAATGATCTTTCCAAAAATTGTTTGTATCGTTAGATAACTATTGTAAAGCACTTTGGATAAAAGCGCTATATATAAAAAAAACTTTTAACTTTTTTTGTTCTACAAATAAAAGCACACAACTCATATTTTCGTATCAGTAGTTTTACCTTTCAGATGCGATGGATCTGTTCCCCGCCATGGCAGCCCCCGAGCTGGGGTTGGGGTGGAGGGGGGGTCTCTCCCTCTCTCCCCCGCCGCCGCAGCCCCTGAGCTGGGGCTGGGAAGTGGGGGGTGTCTCTCCCCACCACAGCAGCCACAGAGCTGAGGCTGGGAAGGAGGGCCTCTCTCCCCGGCAGCCGCAGCCCTGAAGCTGGGGAAAGTCGCCTCTTTCTCTGGCCACTGTAGCCCTGCACATCCCAAATTCCCCCCACCCTCTCTTCTCACCCCACTGCCCCCTCCCACCTACCCGCTATTCCCCCCAAAGCCACCACCTCACCTTACATGTGCGTCTTCTCCAGGGTCCAGGCACCTAATTAGTGGAGCTATGCCTGCGCGGCTCCACTAATTAGGTGGGTGGCCCTTCATTCTCTCGTGTGCAGCCGCCCAGGCACGCACCTTAGAGGGAACTATCCGCGGACCCCCTGAATGGAGCTCGCGGACCCCTGGTGGTCCACGGACCACAGTTTGAGAACCTCTGTTCTAGATGTTTTAGACCACGTTGATCAGAGAATGGCTGCTGCATGCCATTGGCAAGTCACTTCTTTACCAATATCTAACTCATCCCATTTTCAGAATACCATAAGCATGAAGGTCCCTTTATAAATAATAAAAATAATTAGAAGTGGCACAGCTAGCAATGCCCGTAATTAAGGTTGCATGACACTTGCCATTCTGACCCTGTTTTGTACTTGCTTATTGTTTTCAAACTTCATTGTGAAGTGAATTGTGAAGCCCAGAGCTCTGCTGGACCAACTATCTGCGCAGAGCTGGGAAAGCAGGGCCGGCTTTAGGAACTGCAGGGCCCGATTCGAATACCCGGCGGCTTCGGCGGCACTGAAGGACCCCCCGCCGCCAAAGTGCCGCCGAAGACCCGGACCACCGCTGGGTGAGTAAAAAAAATTAAAAAGGCGCCTAAGGCGCGGGGCCCTCTTAGGCACGGGCGCGGGGCCCTCTTAGGTGCAGGGCCCGATTCCGGGGAATCGGGGGAATCGGCCTAAAGCCGGCCCTGAGGGAAAGAACACACAAACACTCAAGCCAACTAACAACATCAAGGTTGCAAAGTCAAGCACTCCAAAATTAGAAAATGCCCAAATTAATATTTTTGCCCCCTTGTCCCATATGCATGATGATGCAGTCTTTAATGACATGATCTCATACTGTTTTTGTAATTTTGTATATACTACATAACTATAAAAGAAATAACAATATCTGAGCCCTCTTTCTGATAGAATTATAACCCCTGATTAATATAAATTGAGCTTTACCCTGGCTTGGTCTGGGTGAAGGAAGATGCAATGACTTCATGTCCCGTGTCAGTGTCCTCCGAGGAAGTCTAGGTGCCAAGGCTATTTTGGATGCTGATCCAAAATGCTAACAGGTTTACCCTCCATAGACAGTGCCTCAGCCACTGAAGTTTTGACCTAAAGCAGGTTGCTATGCAAAAAGGTGTTATGGACCTTTTATTCCATACTCTCATCTATAACCCAAGCATGGTTTATTGCTCCTGTTTTGGAGGATGTTCAGTTTGATTTAGAAGGGTTTCCTTTTTTCTCACCTTGGCTATAAGGGCATTCTTCTAAGTGGTGGATGACCATCAGAGGTTTCTTGCTAAAAGGACATGAAAAAGGTGGCATGTCAGATCATTTATAGAAAACACTAACATATAAGCAACTATGTTGTTACAGGGTTATAATTGCAGTGGGGTTCTGATGCTGCTAAAAGCCACATCCAGGAACTATGAGAAGAGCTTGATTGGTTTGTCAGTGGATCTTCCAAGTATACTTCCCATACTATAGTCTTGTGCATTGCTTAGCTGTTATAAGTGGAATGTCCCTTCATATTCCAAGTCTATGGCTATTCGATCATATGGAGGTGGTGATATACAAAGAAAGGATCATGTACAAAGATTCTAGTGAAACCATAACATGCAAATGAAGTTTAATGAAACCAGGAAGAAACTACATTCTCATAACTCTCTTCAGCCTGACTGATTTTATAATATAGAAGTCCAAGACTTTTGAAGTGTGAAAGCTTTCAGTTAGAGCAGCAACTGCATTAGAAATTAATCTGATAAATACTGTGGACCCAATCCTACAAGCTGCTCATCTCCTGGGAGGTCACCTCCCACTGATGTTCTATTCAGCTGCTCTTTAAATCAACAGGATTGAAAGGCACTTGTCATCTTGGAGAATCAGGCTTGTACAAGGAAAACTAAGATGAGTCTCTGTCAGGGTGTCAAATGACGTAAGTGGAACTGTAGTTCCTAGAATGTTCATGAGCTTTAGTTTTTCCAAAGCTGTTGTGGGCAGGGGTTGCTTTTTACAATATATTGGTACAGTGCCTAGCTTCAATGGAGTATCCATTCTGAGTAGGGCCTCGCTCAGTGCTGGAATACAAATCAATCATAACACAATCATAGTCCATGGTTTTAGCATCATATTAGCACATTTTGCCTATTTAAACAATAGCTTCTTGTAGAATTACCACCAGTGTCCCTATGTAAATCCTTTTATGATGCAGCAAAATAAGAATAACTAAAGATTACCTGTTTCTTGATCTAGTTAAAGCTTCTTCATATGTCTGAACCCATTCAATTTCATCACCCCATCCTATAGAGAAGAAGATAGATTGATTAATTTCATTTGTGTACAAATGGCACAATTGATTTCTGGAGCAGGTGGATGTCCGGACTTTGCTGACCAATGTCGCCAAAGGCTAAATGTTGTCTACTACTCATCACTCCTTTTATCCAGGACAAAGGGGAATGAAGAACTTGGAATCTCTCTGTGGGAGGAAGCTTGGGAAAAAAATGGGAACCACATAAAATGCATTTAAGCTCTGCCCAATCCATGTCTCACCTGCAAAGTATTGAACAATTTCCACTAGACACCTGGTAGACTACAGGATAGGAATGTCACATTATTGAACTCTACTACAGATGCAGCCACTCACATGGTTCAGTAACACACATGCTTTTGTTCTACTAGATG